CACTTGACACTTACTAGCTGTGTGACCCTGGGCAAGTCACTTAACCCCAATTGTCTAAAAATGAAAAACAAACAAACAAAGAATTGTTCATTCATCAATTCATTAATTCATTCATGTAATATTGTATATTACTAGTTTATCATTCTATCTCCCTGTCAAATTGTAACAGTATTTGGAACATAAAGAAATAATCACTAGAGGGACAGCAAGGTGGCACAGTGGATAGAGCACCGGCCCTGAAGTCAGGAGGACCTGAGTTCAAATCTGACCTCAGACCAAACACTTGACACATACTAGCTGTGCAAGTCACTTAACCCTAATTGCCTAAAAGAAGAAGAAAGTAAAGTGTGGCAACAGTTTTATTTCTGCTAAGAACTTACTTTTATTGAGAATAACTAAGGCAGCATGGTAAAATGGGGAATAGATAAGGAGTAGAAAATCTGGTTCCAAGTTCCTGCTGAGCCACTTACTAGCTGTGTCCCACTGGCCAGGCAGATCCTTCATTTTTATTTCCTCACCTGTAAAATGGAGATAAAAATTCTTGCCCCGTCTTGCTCACAGAACAGCTATGAGCATCAAGTGAGGTTTTGGGGTCACAGAATTTTAAAGTTGGAAGGGACCTTGGAAGTACCTAGTACAGTATGTATCTGAATGGGAATCCCCATTGGAATATCCCAAATAAGTGATCTATTCAGTCTCTGCTGAAAGAACTCTAATGATAAAGAACTCACTACCTCCTAAGACAGCCCATTCCCCTTTTATATAGCTCTGATTATTAGGACATTTTCTTTACATTGAGCTGAAATATACATTCTCTACAACTTCTTCCCCATCTGTCCAAGTTCTGGCCTCTTGGGCTGACTACAAGGCTATTTCTACTTCTACATAATAGTCCTTCAAATGCCCCAAGATAACTATCTTGTCTCTCTAAAATTTTTCTTCAACAGATGTCATCTGAAAGTACTTTGAAAATTGTAAAGCACTATGTAAGATAGAATTAATTAATTTACAGTTGTATTAACAGTCATCTCTTTCCCACAGCCAAACAAGTTGCTAACTAGTCAACTTGCTGGTGATAGGCCTCTTGATACTTAGCTAGGCTGGTTGTTACATAACAGTGACAAATTTATTGCCAGTATTATTGCTGAGGCATTTCTCGTTTGGAAAGACTTACCAGAGCCCTGGACTCTATTGGCATAACCTTCAGGAGACCAGGGACACCTCTATAAGACAATGAGGCATGGAAGTCATAATCATCACATTGCTGTAAGCCATAATGAGTTAGGCTATGATCCCCAGAAATGAAAGTAAGCTCATCAGGAAAGGCCTACACTAAAATGAAAATATGATACTAGAAATTCCAAATCTTTTAACTATGCATATTATAATGGATGATTTTTAAAAAAGCAAAACATTAATCCATATAACCAGATACATAAAAAAATCCTCTAAAAATGGTAATCCAGTGAGACCAGGTTCTCAAGTTTTCTAAACCATAATTGCTAAAGCTTATCTGGAAACCAGTTCTGAAGCTAGAGGAAAGGAAGGAGTTTTGCCTTAAGCTTTAGAATTGAAAGAACCCAATGTCTTTGCAGAAAGTCCAAAGTTAAACACACACACACACACACACACACATACAAAAGAAGTAAAAAACTCCACTATTTATTAAACAATCTGGTTGTATTGAAATGGCAAAAAAGGTAACAAGTAAGTTTGTGAAATCTAAGAATTAAAAGGAAAATTGCTGTGGTCTATAGTTGGCTCTGAGAGAACAAAAAGAATGCATTGCTGAGACTGAACCAACATAAGACAGGAGAATTGACCTGACTAGCTATTCACGAGGAATAAAAGAACACCCACTCCAGCACCTTTGCCACGAAAACCCCAAATGTGATCACAAAGAGTCAGATATGACTGAAAATGACTGAACAACAACAATCACACACACACATAAAGTACAAGGGCTAAGAAAATTTTCTAAGACTAGAAATCTTGTATTAAGTTTCAAGGCACATTTTGATTTTTAAAAAATAATCCAATAGGGGGCAGCTAGGTGGCACAGTAGATAGAGCACTGGCCCTGAAGTCAGGAGTACCTGAGTTCAAATCTGACCTCTGACACTTGACACTTACTAGCAGTGTGACCTTGGGCACCCCCCCAATCCAATAATTGGTTAGTAAATACTTCCACAAATGCTTGTATCATTGAGCTTAAGATTGAAATAATTTGCTTTATAGTAAAGCAAGACATCTTATTGAATATAGTGGAAGGAACACTGGGTTTTGAGTCAAATGAGTTAGGCCCAGATCCTATCTACCACTTACTGTCTTTGTAACCTTGTGTGTATTACCTTGCCTCTCTGAACCTGCTTCTTCATCTGTAAAATGACAGAATTGACTCTAGTGATCTTTAAGGTTCCTTCAAAATCTTTAGGGAAACATTTCCCCAGGTTTATTCTGCATGATTTTTAGTCCCCAGAGACATTCATAGTTAAATTAAGAATAAGACATATTTCCAATACAGGAGGGATTGAACACAGGGAAATTATTTGCATTTAAGGGAATAAAATACAAGGATCAAAACTCTTGGGGAGGAATTTGGATTACCAAAGGGCTGAGCCAAAGAGGTAGTGTCCATCACATTAGGCATAGATACATATTCTGAATCCTTATCATTAGTTCATAAGACTTTCTGTCAGTCAGTTATTAAGGCCCTCCTGTGTGTTAGGCACTGTAGCATTGTACTAAGCCTTCTAAAACCAGAGGTTTTACCTTAATGCTGGAAAAGGCCAAATGGTTATATAACTTCTATGAAAGAAGGGGATACAACTAATTTTAGGACTCCTTGGGCCCCAGTATTCCACCATCCTGAGGGGATTGAAGATAGCTGGTAAAGTGTCTCTGGCCCTGAGATACCAGAACTTAAGAAACAACCATTTTTTTCAACAAGCTTTTTTTTACTCTTCTGCATAACACAGTCTCCCACTCTATCTTCCTACTCACCCCCATTATCTCATAGGGAGATCATGGGGCTCCATTAGATTTAAAGCTAGAAGGAACTTTAAAAGTAATTAAGGCCAACCCTCTCATTTTATAGATGAAGAAACTAAAACCCAGAAAGGTGGCAACTTCCTCAGGGCCACATAAGTGGCAAAGCTGGATATCCAGGTGCCCTGACTCCAAACCAACCACTTCTCCCCCTCCATCCTTCTGTCTTGTCTTTCATAGTTTAGGGAAAAAAAAGATGAACAGAGGAACTACTCTGTAGTAGAAATCAGCTAGGTAGGGGTAGGGAGTTTAGGAAAGAAGATGGGGCACCCATAAATGGAAAAAGCATAGGACAGGTAGGGGCTGTGCTCCAGAAAATTTTCGGCATGGTCTGTATACTTAGTTGAGTTAACAACAGCAACAACAACAACAGCAACACTTTAGGATGAGGAAGCTATGAAAGGAAACTTGGGAGAAAATGCTCAGTTGTTCTCTATGAAACTTGAGGGCATGTTATTCATAGAATCAAAAACAAAGTTTAGGGGTGCTTTTCAAAACAAGGCCAGATTGTTAGATCTAGTAGTACTCTGAGAAAGGTCAATAAAGAATAAGTCATCTTAAGAGGAACAGAGAGAAATGGCCTGGGCAGTTAAAAAGGTTGTCAGTAACTTTCTGAGTTTTCTATTAATGGTATTAAGAATATCAACAGAATTTTCACTTAATGGTCTGTAGGAAATGCCCCCAAGCTAAAAGCAGGTTTTTTTTTTTTAATTGGCAAGTGAATATTTTGGGGGCTTTACCACTTCCTTTTCGTTCTTGAATATTTAAGACCACAATGCCCAAATACACACCACACTTTCCTATCTCTGTGTCTTCGTAATCTGATTTTTCCGCTATCTGGAAAGCCCTCCTTCTATTGATTTACAGAATTGAAATCCTTCCCATTATCCAAAGTCTGGATCAAATGTAACCATGTCCATAAAGATATTCTTGATCCCCCAAATGTTATTTATTCCTTTTAGGAAGAGCTTCTCATGGCTAAGGATTGAGAGTTAAAGAAAGTTTCCTTGGAAAATCAGGGTTAAATATGTTAAATAGGTTAAATAGAGACTGATAACAATTAAGTGTCTAGCACAATTCCTGGCACATAATACGCACCTAACAAATGCTTTTGATTGATTACTTGATTAAGGAGAAATAGGTAGGGTACCTTTACATTTATTTAAGTATAGTAACTTATAATGTTAAAATTTACACAACAGGTTTCCTAAAAATTCCTATACTTCATTTTCTTAAAAAGCATAATTAAATGGAAAAAATAGAATAATCTCTTTCTCTCATTTAACCCTAAGTATGGGAAGTCTAGCCATTTGGACCATGGTGCCATGACCAGAACTTCGGTATTTACCCAGTGGAAGCATATTTTAAATGTCAGTAAAGTATCTGGAAAAACAAAACAAAACTAAACTAAAAAAAAACAAAACCCAAAAAAACAGAAAACAGCACCACCTTGGTAATGAGATAATCATGAAAATTGGAACTGAAACCTATTGTACAAGTAAAAATTTAACAGTCTATCCTCAGTTCTACTTGCTAAGCCTTCAGAGGTTCTGTCCTGAAAGATTCTGCTGGAAGGGATTTTGGTTCCCTGGCAAAGTAATGCCACATTATTTTACCACAACATCGTCCCCTCATTTTATCAGTAAAACGTCCCTGGATGAAGGGGAGGGGAAGCCGTGTGTATAAAGATGGCTCACTCATCAGTTGTATTTCCTGTGTTAAGGAGAGATGACTAAGACATTAAAGTAGTACAAAAAAACAAACAAAAAACCCAAACAAAAATGTGTTAAAAATCTGTCAATTGTTACCAATCAGAAATAGAGTTATTTCTTAAATAGTCTTTCCTTTCTGGCACACTTAAGTGGCCTTGCAGAGCTCTCACTATTAATGAAGAAAACTTTTAATAAAATCTGGCTTTGTGGTTTGGGTAAAGGATAAAAAGAAATTGCCAACCTGACTAACGCAGCTGGCCTGACTCAGAGTGCTGACTGCCCGCATATAGCTCTGATTCCTGGAGCGGAATTTCGGAGAGTTGTAGTTAGGAGAGGGATCCAGGTTGTGACCACCAGGCACATCACTTGCAGCTTGTAGGTAGCTCTGGCTATATTTAAAAGAGAGAGAGAAAGAAATGAAGAGGAAAATAAAGTCCATAAATGTCAATGGAAAAATTACAGTTTGAGAACGGTCATTCTATCCCCTTTTGAGAAGCTGCTGAAATTGAGCAATTTGTAAGTATTTTCCCCTTATGTAAATATATTTGATGTAAACACTTGCAAATGTGAATTTCATTTCCTGTAATAAATGGAGATTATTTTCCGGATTGCTTCTGAGCTTGACACTTTATAGCCAGAAAGGTGGAATTAGGGTTGCTCCAAATAAGAACAGATGACAGGATCTGTAACTCATGCAGCATTAAGGCAAACTACCCACCTGGATTCAGGCCCAACATCAATGATAAAATCAGAAAAATTCATCTATGCTTTTGCAAGTATATACACTCTGAATTCAGCCTATGTTTTTTCCATTTCACTTATACAAATGTTTCATTGTGCTAAATAGTGTAGGCAAAGAATGTGCTTTGAAAAATTGAATCCATTAACACAGTCACAATGATTATTTCCCCAGCTTCTCCTGAAAAAAGAGATATAATTTTATTTATCCTTTTACTTCTCCAGCCTTCCACCTTTTGGCCATATTAGAATTCTGATGTGTGGAAGTATACTAAAATCTTACTTAACTGAAATGTTCCAGTAAAAAGGTGTTCTGGTTAAAATGGGCTTTTCTGGTTAATCAGAAACCTTTGTTATTGTTTAATCCCTTGATGTTAAAAAGCACTTTAAAATGTATGAGGCCACTTTCTTGCCTTAGTAAGAAGAATTAGCATAATTTCATTTTTCTTTGCTGACTGCAGATCTCATAGTGCCTCAGAGCCATAATTTTGAACCATCAATTTTCACTGCACAAGAGTATATGTACAACATCTGTTCAAGTAGAGTTGTGTGCCTTGACCCCAGAATAACCCCTGGAAGTTAAATATTAAATATTAAATATTATTATATATTATATTAAATATTAAATTAAATTAAATATTAAAAATATTTTATATTATTTTAAATGAAGTCCTTGATATAACTTTGGATTTGCCACTTCCTCAAAAAGTAGAAGGCAGGGCAAAAATCCATTTAGTTTATAATTTTGATTATTTGAGTTCCAGTTATATAGGTTTTATAGTTATCATGTCCAAAGGAAAACAGCTACTTCATTTAAATAATACACTTAGTAACTAATATGCCCTTCACCCCCAAAAAACAAAAGAGAATCACTTCAAATTTAAACTTATCTTCATGTTAGATATAAAAGAAGTTTAATTTTTTTAAGTTCTCAAATTAGCTTATTAAGTTTTGAATTGTGGTGCTATAAGAAAAGTTTTGCTACAGCACAAAATAACCCATACACACATATACACAGATACACACTTTGGAGTCTTGACATATACTTTGAATAATCTTCTGCCTTGATTTGTGCCATCACTGTGTGTGATGTTACAGGACAATAGTATGAGGAATGTTAGCCAATAGATAATTACTCCACAATAGCTTTGTACAAAAATCAGTTTGATCCATTAATGAACGTTTATTAATTGCATATTGATGTGTGCATAATCCTGTGATAGGTGTGGAGGGGCTTACAAAGACTACATCTGACACATAGTTTCTTGCCTTCATGAAGATTAGTGTTTAGTAGAAGCATATGAAAAATATCCAAATTACAGATGGTATAATTCAATTTGATTCAACATACATTTATTAAATGCCTCCTATGTGTAGGGCTCTGAGTTATAACATATGATCTCATATACCATAATATGAAACAATACATGATAATTACCCTAGCAAAGTTTTATGAATGAGAAAAGGCCATTACTTACTGGGATACATATTGGGAAGGCTTCCTGGAGGAGGCAATATGTGAAATGGTCTTTTAAAACTGTTGTTTTAGTCATTTCAGTTGTGTCTGACTCTTTGTGGCTCCCTTTGGGGTTTTCTTGGCAAAGATACTGGAGTGGTTAGCCATTTCCTTCTCCAGCTCATTTTACAAATGAAAAAACTGAGGCAAACAGTGTTAAGCAACTTGCCCACACAAGTCACACACATATAAAGTGTGAGGCTGGATTTGAGCTCAGGTCTTCCTGACTCTAAGCCTGGCATGCTAGGCTACCTAGCTGCCCCACTCTAAAAAATAGGTGGGATTTAAATGGGTAGAGGAGTTATAGTATAGGTGTTTGGGGTGGGAACTGTGGAGGTAGAAAGGCACTGGGCATATACTAGGAATGGCAAGTAGTTCCATTTGGCTAGAGCCACAGTGCATATGAAGAGTAGTAGTTTGAGATAAACATGGAAAAGTAGGTTGACCTCAGATTATGGATGGTCTAGAATGCCCAGAAAGGAGTTTGAACGAAGTAGGCAACAGGAAGCCTTATTGAAGTGAGATGACAGAATCTATACATAATAAGAGCAATATCTGCAATGTAAGCTACCTTAGTTTTTACATCCTTGAGATTTGATTGTCTTGGTAGTTTATGCCACTGACATCGAGTATGGAAGATAGCCCATGGGATGGCAGGAGTAGCGTCCCTCAGGCTCGACTGGGTGCTAACATGGCCAACTGAGAGTCAAGAAAGCAATGTTCAATTGAATTAATGAGGTATCTTTGTTTAGTATACTTTTTATGCTATGACTAAGTAAACTTCCTTTTGTTACCTGTTAGATAGTCTGCATGTGTCTCATGTCATTCTAATTTTGAACCTGAAGCACCAGACTTGGCCTAAGGCCCACACTAAAATACATAATAATAGCTAATATTTATGTAGCCCTTACTATATGCCAGGCACTGTGCTAGGTACTTTATAATTATAATTTCTCTTATCCTCATAACAACCCTGTGAGGTAGGAGCTATTATTATCCCTATTTTACAGATGACGAAACTAAGGCAAAGTGGGGTTAATTGACTTGTCCAGTCCAAGGTCACACATCTAGTGAGTATATGAAGATGAATGAGTGAAAGTGATTGATTACATAAATGTCTGTACATATTAAAATATATAAATATCTGGGAATATAAACTGTTTCAGAAGAATATCTTTGAAATTAATCCTACTTCAGTAGCTTCTTTGAAGTTTTTTTTTCTTTTTGGCTTAAAAATGTCTGAGATGTGCATACTAAAAAATTCAATCATAGCTTTCCATTGGTTAAATGTGTAAAAGCAAAACTATGCTAAATGATATGCCATAAGTGGGGCTGTTTTTTAAATCACAGTTTAAATGTCAAAATAAGAATTATTGTGTGTCCTACAAGTGTACATGGGTACACTGCCTTCCTTACTTAAGTGTGGCATAATCTCACTATGACAAAGACGATATCAGTCTGCCCTTGAGAGGGAGAGGCTTTCTAGACAATGTATACTTGCAAAGAACAGGCGACCTTAAAGGGATGAAGATACTAGTAATAAAGAAAAGCTTGGGGACCATGAGAGCAGTGGAATGATGATTAACAAAGAAGTACAATTCTCTTGCTTTAAATAATAGCTATCATTTATGAAGGCTTACTATGTGTCAGGCACATCCTCACATTCAGATAGAAATAGATCATCTCTCATGGTCCTGCAGAAAGGAAATGCTAATGTAGCCCACCTTTGCCTCACCACAACCCTGAGCGGTAGAAGCCATTATTATCCCCACTTTACAGATAAGGAAACTGAGGCAAAAAGAGGTTAAAGTGATTTTTCCAGGATCATCCAGCTAGCATTGTACCACATGCCTTCAGTTTAATAAAGATGAAGACAGTGTCATCTAGAGAACTTGTGACTTGTGCAAAGTCATGCAGCTAGATTGCTCTAGTAAAAGAATTAGGATTTGAACCAAGATCTTCTGAATCCAAATATGATTTTCCCCCTACACTGTTGGAGGTATGAAGTGCCCAGATCATCATGCATGTACCTTGGCTACACACACTTCTTTGTATATGCCCTATGTACACATTTCCTGATCACATAGTTTCCTTCACACATCTAATGGCCATATGTGTTCCCAATGTGTGTACCTTCTATGTATATATCCTGGTTGTAGGTATTTTCTTCATGTGTCTACCTCCGTATACTTGTGGTGTAGTAATCTAGGAGAATGTACCTTGTGTGTATACGGGGGAGCCTTTTTCATCATTTATTGTTATGTGATTTAATTAAATGTCTTTTGTTTTGAATGATTGTGTTCTATAGCTGCGTGGTACAAATGAAGACATTGTTGGAGTCTTATGAGCTATGGTTTTGAGGGAGTGGTGACTAAGAATTACCTCAAATATGGGACAGCTTTTCTGAAGGGCTCACATAAAAGAGAGTTGGTCCTGGGGCTACAGAACTAAATGGTAGGTATGAAACACTTCTAGATGGGCAAGTTGGACCAGGTCAGGAACAATTAGCCTTTTATCTTCTAAGGAATGTTGCCGTGGATCTTAGAAGCCAATAAGTGAGTATTTATCCACAAGGTGAAAAGAATGAAGTAAAAATAGCTAAAAACTCCCTTTGGAGGGATTCCAGGCAACTATTTGTCAGTCTCCTATTAAAAATGGAAAAGTTAGCTGCCTTCTTGGGATATGTATCCCACATGTTACAGAGAGCCTCTTCAATATTTTCAAACTGATAATCAATACTTATTCTTATTTATTCAAGCAAGCACAAATGATACCAATAGAAGTAACTTGAGAACTATTGCAAAAGAGTATTAAGTCACGGACAAAAAAAAAGAGAAAAAATTTTAGGGGCATAGGTTATATTATTATGGATTCTGCGAATTGACAAAGAAGAGTCAGAGAGGAAAGGCAGATTTAGGAAGAAAATAAGCCAGCTAAGAATATGATGTTTAAGAATATTATTTAGGGGCAGCTAGGTGACGCAGTGGATATAGCACCGGCTCTGAAGTCAGGAGGACCTGAGTTCAAATCTGACCTCAGACCGAACACGTGACACTTAATAGCTGTGTGACCCTCGGCAAGTCACTTAACCCCAATTGCCTAAAAAAAAAAAAAAAAGAATATTCTTTAGATGAA